GTGGGTAGAATTCGAGGGTGAAACGGGATTAGGTAAAGAAAACGTTTCTTTTATTTCGCAAAAAATTACAAAAATGTTTCATTTTGAAGATTACGGTGGTCTGGCAAGGGAATGGTTCTACTTGCTGTCAAAGGAAATGTTTAATCCATACTATGGACTGTTTGAATATTCGGCAATGGATAATTACACATTACAAATTAATAACGGCAGTGGTTTATGCAATGAGGAGCATTTGAGTTATTTCAAGTTGGTATACATTTTTAGCCAGTTAGTTTAAGAACGTTGAAAATATGGAAATCAAACCATTTAAGTGATACTAATAAGATTTTGGTTTTGATTTTGTTAGAAATTTCTGTAATAAAATTGGTTAACGAAAAAAAAACGCTTTCAAAATAAATAGCTTAATAGTTAATCCTCCGACTGTTTGTTAACAAATCTGTTATGATCAATTTCTCCGTAGATTCATTGGTCGCATTGCTGGTATGGCTGTTTATCATGGCAAACTATTAGATGCATTTTTCATTCGTCCATTTTATAAGATGATGCTTCAAAAGCCAATTGATTTAAAGGATATGGAATCAGTTGATACCGAGTATTATAATTCACTGATGTGGATAAAAGAGAATGATCCCCGGCAATTGGAATTGACTTTTTCATTGGATGAAGACACGTTTGGCCAAAAGAGTCAACACGAACTAAAGCCAGGAGGCTCCAATATTGAAGTTACTGACGAAAATAAAGATGAATATATTAAGTGTGTACAACCATATGTTACTATGCATGATCATAAATACTCAATTGTACAATTTCAGGCTTGTTATTGAATGGCGTTTTGTTGCAAGAGTCAAGGAACAGATGTCATCGTTTTTGGATGGATTTGGCTCAATAATTCCATTAAATTTAATTAAGATATTTGACGAACACGAGTTAGAATTGTTAATGTGTGGCATACAGAATATTGACGTGAAGGATTGGCGAGAAAATACTTTATACAAGGGAGACTATCACCAAAATCATATAATAATTCAATGGTTTTGGCGTGCAGTGCTCTCATTTTCGAACGAGATGCGTTCACGTTTATTACAGTTTGTTACTGGCACATCACGCGTTCCAATGAATGGCTTCAAAGAGTTGTACGGCTCAAATGGTCCGCAAATGTTTACCATAGAAAAATGGGGTACACCTAACAATTATCCTAGAGCACATACATGGTTCGTGAATACCTAGTTTTTTTTTACTAAATTTTAAGTAATTTCTGTCTGTTTCAGTTTCAATCGTTTGGATCTACCACCATACGAAGGTTATGTCCAGTTGAAAGATAAACTAGTTAAAGCTATTGAGGGCAGTCAAGGTTTTGCTGGCGTCGATTAATATCTCTAGCAGTAGTAAAATTCCCTATATCAACGAAAAATTCCGCCGTATAAGATAAATTGCGGATTCGAGGCCTTTTACGCTGACTTGTGTACTTATTTTTCTGTTTATTACTATATATTAATAATTTTACGAACTTCCTGTTATAAAAAAAAATATAAATACCAAATTACTTCATACTATTTTTGTTTATCATTCTACACTACCCATTTGGTAACTACGTTCGAAAATTAATTTTTTCTCCTACGTCTATGCCCTAAGAAAAGTGGGGCATTCAATTTTGCATTACCAGTAATGCAGGAAAGAATGCGATTTAATATGAATTTTTTCCGACTTTTTGGATACATTCGAATACTGATTACATATTAAACATTAATAGAATCTAGAACTCATAAGAAATACATTACATTATTTATCACGCATGTTCTGCAATTCACTTACGAGTGAATTTTAACACAACTCACTTTGAAATAAAATTGAATGGGGTTGAAATTCACTCGGAAGTGTATGGCAAAACCTGCCTTCGATGGCTGAGTGGAAGATCGACCTATCTCGGCAGCCAGTTCAAAAACGCCCTATCTCAGAAAACTTTTCAAGAACGCCCTACTTCAGAATTTGATTGAAAAACGCCCTATTTCAGAATTTTATTGAAAAACACCCTATCTCAGAATTTGGTAGAATAACGCCCTATCTCAGAATTCGGTTCAAAAACGCCCTATCTCAAACGAAAATACTTTGAAAATAAGCTGAGATAGGGCGTTTTTGAATCGTAAGCTGAGATAGCGCATTCTTCAACTAAATTCAGAGATAGGGCGTTTTTCAATCAAATTTTGAAGTAGGGCGTTCTTGAAAAGTTTTCTGAGATAGAGCGTTGTTCAAAACTTTTCTGAGATAGGGCGTTTTCGAAATGTCGCCGAGATAGGTCGATCTTCCACTCAGTTATCGATTCAATAAATAAAAACTTACTGTTAAGCGGCTCTATTCTCTAATCCTTGCCTAATCTTCCCATCCCTTACTAAAGTAAGCAGTAAGGATTGCTTAGGTAAGTACTAAAGATAAGACATTTATTCGACAAGGATTAGGAATATTAGCCACTTAACAGTAGTAACAGTTATTATTTATTTTTTTAATTTTAATTGCATCGTTATTGCACAACACCATCTATATGTTTATCCGATAAGTACCTGTAAATTCGAAGAATGGGAATTCTACCAATTTGAAAAGCCAAATCTCATCCGGAATTTTTTAAAGATTGACACAACTTCTCCTTGCTGTAAACCGGAAAAGCCACCAAACATTTTCCGGTTACTTTGGATCCTTTGGGAAGAAGAAAACGCTCATCAGTTTTCAATGCGGCTATTTACGCAATCCCCCATCGCTCTTTTAATTCCAGTTTTTTCTCAATTTCTTTTATCTATGTGCATTGGTGAGTGATTTTCTTACAAAATTCATGTGTATTTATTTGATTAAAAAATTTGTTTTTGTTTTGTCACTTGGGATACGCTTTGATAACACTTGTTTATAAACAATGAACGTTCACTTGTCAAATACAACGGACTTGCGCAATGCAGAACCCTGATTGAAGACTTGTTCCACTCCGTTTTGTTTACATTAAGTTAAATTGAAATTCTATTTTTTTATTAATGTTAAAAGCAAAACAAATCATTAATAAAATTCTAGATTTAGTTTTCCGGAATAGCCCAACAATGAGCAATTCCTGTGCACTTGTGTATTTCGCTTAAAAACCGATAACTTTGAGTACTTATCGATAGTTTTGACCGGTATGAATATAGGATGGATTTACAAAACTACCCCGTTCGACGTAAAATCGTTCGTTCCCACAACTGTCGGTCTACGTAATCTGAACGACCCAGATTTATATCTGGCCAAGGACTGACACTCGCATCAACAGCCCAAAACCTCGAGGAATTTGTATGCTGTTTTAAGAGAAAACAACATCGTAAAGTCGTCAGTGGGATAGCGGAGCAAAGAGCATTGAGCAAGCATGACAAACGAACGCTTGCTTCGCTTTGCGTGACAGATTCGCTTTAACAGATGAGATGAATCGTATGAAAGTGCACAAAGCATGCCACATAGATCGTTACAGCTGCAGGAGGAGGCGAAAAGAAGGCGAACTACCATCTTTTTGCACGCGTTGACAATCAGCCGGTTTGATATTTGTTTTGTTTCGTCCAAATTCAAGTTTTCACGCAAAAACATAAAATTAAATTACATTGCTGATATTTATAAAGCTAAATATATATAAATCCACAGAATCAAAAAACTTTTACACACACTTGTAGACAACAATTCACGCTTTATTACAAAAATAAAATTTACTATATCTGTGCACACAAATTTATTTATAATGTCGGTTCGAAATATGGTATTTTTCGCAAATTTCCGAGCTGAGTTGTCAAACAAAAAATATCCACGAAATAACCCTGCCAAAGGTGTTCAGCTCCTCTTTTTCAGCAACCAGAACTAGAATTCGTTAGTGAGCGTTATAATTCTTTTGCAAAAAATCCAAATTTCCCCTATTTTCAAACAGCTTCCTAGGGATCTTAAAGCGGCGTCCATCCTCTATCGTTTAAATTTAAATCACAGCCGTGCACAGAAAATTGGCCCTTAGTGGTTCTTATTGTTGCTGTTGTAGCAGCATACAAGTTCCCCATTCGGTTTTTGGGGAATGTCGCTGGAGTGACAGTCCTTGGCCAGATATAAATCTGGGTCGTTCCGGTTACGTAGACCCGACTGTCGTGGGAACTTAGTCATTTAGTGGTTGTTGTTGTTGTTGTTGTTGTAGCGGCTACAACAACCCCGCCCAGATCGGTTGGTATCTCAGTCGTTGTCGTCAAGTTCCACTAACGGCAACCCTAGGAAGCGTGCAGCTTCTGCGGGGTTTGCCCATAAGGACAAGGTCGTTAGGGATGTCGGGTTTGCCGGGCATGCGAAGAGATGTTTCGAGTCATGTGGGGTCTCTCCGCATGCCGGACATTCGTTAGGCACATCCTCATTCAGCCTACTCAAGTAGGAGTTTAACCTGCTGCAGTAGCCGGAGCGAAGTTGTGCAAGTGTAGTGCGCGTCTCCCAAGGCAGATGAAGCTCCGTCTCGTCAATGTCCGGGGGTGGTGTGCCTAGAACGGCATTCACAGGTCTAGAGTCTACATAACTCGAGACTGAGTCCCTGTGAATGCCGTTCAAGGCCTGTCTGTAGGCTGTCGGGTCCAGAGGTTGCTTAATGAACCTCTGGACTTCGTCCGTTAGTTCATATAGATGCCTCCTGACGTGCCTAGGCGAGTGCTCCTCTGCAAGCAGCTGTCTGCTCGGGTGGCCACTTCTGTGACTCCCTATCAGGAACTGCTTGCAGAGCATTATATTTTGCTCCTTTACCGGGAGCATTTGCGCCTCGCCGTGCAGGTGGTGTTCAGGCGTCATCAAGAGGCATCCCGTCGCTGTCCTCAGTGCGGTGTTTTGTACGGTCTGTAGCTTCGTCCACTGCGTCCTACTAGTCCCAGGCGACCACACTGGCGCTGCGTAGTTCAAAACCGGCCGGCCTATTGC